CTTACTTCTGGGGGGAACAGTCTGTCCTGACTAGTACCTGGGGGTGGGAAATAGGGGGAGGGCACCAATGTAGGGCCAAGAGCATGGCTCTGGAGGGGCACATCCAGGCTACTGATCGCCAGTTGTATGACAAGAACTTTTCTAAGCCTCGCTTTTCCTCATCTGTGAAATGGGCCTAACCATGGTGGCCCCTGGGGCCGTGTACGGAGCTGGTGGCAAAGCTCTGACACAAAGACGGTGCCCGTAAACAGGCGCGATGACCTCTTCGCAAGCAAATTCTTATGACCTCCCGGCCAGTGGCCCTGGGGCTGGCGGTGGCTGGGCTGGAGTCCCAAAGCACCCCCACTGGCCGACGCAGGGCCCTAGGCGGGACGGGCGATACTCACGACAGAGGACAGGTCCACGTTCTCTACCCTCCTGTCCTGCAGCAGCACGGGCTGTAGGCCGGCGACGCGGAGCTGCACCGAGGACGTGCGGTACACGAAGCTCAGCAGCCAGTCCCCCCTGCGGGCAGAGAAGTGGGGGCTGTCAGCCTTGGGAGCCCCAGCTGGCCCTGGACAGCCTGGCGGGACCGGCACGTTTGTGGGAAACCGGGGCCCTGGCCGCACACGGCGGGGCACGATGGTGGAGCAGTGGCCGCCTCTTTGGGGGTGCTGCCCGCTCTGTTCGTGCTCGGTCCCCACTGCCGACAACTGTGCCTGGCGCGCAGTGGTGGGGTGTGTGCTGGGTGAGGGAATGAGGGAGCCAGATGAGGTTCTCACAAGTCAGCATGTGGCTTTGGAGGGGGCTCCGGCTTCCAGGGTGGCTGGTCTGGGGCTCCACGAGAGAGAGGCAGCAGGGATCCTCCTGGTGTGAATGGGCTGCGGGGGGCTGGGGGTCTACCCTGCTCTGTGGCACGGAACTCTGAGGTCTGGGTTCCTGTCTGTCCAGCTCGCCCTCTGAGTCAGGCCCGGCCCAGCCCACAGGCCTCCCTGCTCTCACTCATCTTGGAAGAGGCGAAGGTGTTTGTCCAGGCAGGTCACGCCCTGGGAACTGTCCTCCACCTTCAGGGGTGCGGGGAACCCTGCTCCCGGCACCCGCATCCCCAGCCACACACACAGTCCTGAGGGAAGAGAACCCTGGACCCCATGCTGCCTGTTTCTTCAGGTGCAAGGGGCACCATCTGTGGGGGACATGGTCTGAGGGGCCCACGAGACGGCCTTCCCCTCGAACCCCTGACTTTGTCCGGCTGAAGCTGGGCCAACCAAGAGCAGTGCCCTCGGCCTCGGTGCTCAGCAGGTCTGTGCAAGTGGACACTCCTCGCCTCCCCTCTGCATCCAGGACTTGCATCTAACTTAGCAGACCTGGTTGTCTTTTATTTAGACTGATTCTGACTCTGGTTCGTACGGCGACTTGAGTCCGTTATTTTTGCGTTCTTACGTGGAAGAAGGGCCCCCGTGCGGTGCGAGGGAAGAAGGGGTCAGAGTCAGGGGTCCCTGCCCTGTCTCTGTGACTGCTGTCTGGGGCCCAGGGTTTGGGGGAACTCCCCAGGCTCCCTCGTAGGTGCTCTCTGACCGCATGGGCGCTTGTGTGTTTACCACCCCGGAGACCCCCGGACGGACCGGGGTCCAGAGTCGAGGGGCCCCCTACAGACCTTCCTGATGTGTCCCACACCCGAGCTCACCGGCCTGGATTCCCTCTCCACTGCCATCCTCCTGGTCCCTCAGGCAGAAACCAGCAGGGCAATGTCTTAGGCCCCCTTTTCCCCGATGACCAAGTCACCACAGAGTCCTGCTGACTCTTATTACCTGCCCCTGCACCCATCCCGTGTGCCCCAGCCCTGAGATCAGGCACTCCAGTCCCCAGGAACCAATGCAACGGCCTTCTCCCCGCTCTCCCTGCTCCTGGCCTCACCTCCCATGTGCCACTGCGGCTTTCCTTAAACCCTCATCTGACCACTGCTCTTCTCTCTGAGAAGCCGACTGTGCCTCCCCGTGGCCTCTGGGCCTTCTCTTCTAGAAAATTCCTTTTCTCTCTCCAGAGAGCAATCCTTGCAAGTCCCAGGGATTATCTTAATATTGAGGGCCCGAGAAGCACTGTCTCTAAGCACGGATGACTAAGGGGAGAAGAAAGATGAACTCAAGTTGTTGTTTTGCATTGATCACGACTTCCGAGCATCAGATACTGGGTAGGAGGGTGGTCTGTAAATATTTCTGCTGTAGACAGTTTTAAATGAGTAAAGTCAGCCTTAGTCCTTCCAAACTGTTTCTGTCTTAATGATCACAACACTGTACGTAGAACGTTGACTGCACTTACTTGTTGGTACACATTTAGGGACAGAACAGGAACATATGTTGGAAGGTTCTGTATCTTCTAAATTGTGCTGAGCAAACCATAGGGTCTTCACTGGCATTCGGGACTCTTCTCCATCTGGCAGCTGCCTCTCTCGCCCAGGGCGGGCCGTGATCCTATGCACGGGACCACACAGAGCCAGGCTCAGGTCCCACCTTGTTACTCGCTGTGTGACCTTGGGCGAGTTGCTTGCCTCCTCTGAGCCTCAGTCTCCTCACTGCATCTTACTTCCCAGGGTGGGCAGGAGCATACGCTGAGGTGGCACATCACGTAGGTGGCGCCCACACACGTGAATCTTCTGGAAGCATCTGGTCTGATTACGCCTCCTGCTGTGGGCCTTCTTGCTTGGCCTTGTCTTCCAGCGTCTGATGGGCTCTTGTCCATCCTTTCAAAATTCAGCTTGGACATCACCTCCCCCAGGGAGTGCTCCTGAGGCA